AATATTAAACAATGTTACTTTCATTATTTATTCTCATTATTGATACCTAAAAACTATTTCTAAGCTCAAAATAACCAAGATGCATAATACAGTTATCCAGCAAGTTTTACCATTCTTTTAGTTTAAATCAATAATTCCTAGCCTTTCAAAATTTGGTCCAGATTATCTATATCCCCACATAGTATGTGTTATCTAACTTATAACGCTTTATTGACATTACAGAGTAGCATAATAGCGTTATTTCAGCTATAGAGTTAGTTAACAAAGAGCATGTTCTTTATTGTACATTTCAGAATTTAATCCCCAATGAGGATTACAACTCTAGAATGCAACAGATTCATGATTTTCACCTTTTAAAACAATTGCGCAGTGTATATGCATATAGTGAAAGCTTATGTAAGGTGTGGTTTAAAAAAAAGTGTAAAACTGGCAACTGTGACTTATCCAACAAACCTCGTTCTGGAAGACTACACCTACTATGAATGGAGAACTTTTGAAAGAGACTAATGAATTGAATTCATGTCAAAGCAGCAGAAATTTGCCACAAAAAAAAAAAAAAAAAAAAAAAAAAAAAAAAAAAAAAAAAGTGTCATATTCAGAAAAATCAAGTGAATTAGGAAAATTTGCAAAGAGTGAATGTTGGTTTCTCATAAGCTTTTGCTTGAAAACCAAACAACATTCCACCACATCCTGCAGCAGCAGGCTTTTAACGAGGAATGTCAACTTTGTATTTTTGTATCCCATTTTTATAGGTGATAAAAAATGGTTATCACAAAATGAGAAATCAGTGCCAGTACCAAACTTTTGTCTGGTGGAATATAAAAATTGTCATCGGTTACAAGCTAAATGGAAAATATATTATCAGTGCAGACATTTATTGCCAGCAACTTGATCAGGTAAATGAAACATTGTAGTACAGTGTTCCTGCTTTGGTAAATAGGACAGGGGGTTATCATCTAACTTGACAATGTAAGGACATACACCACAAGACCAAGAAAGAATGAGATTTGTTGGTATGTAAGATTCAATATCCTCAACAGTCTCTAAATTTACTACCTACAGATTTTCATTTGTTTCAATCACAAGAAAATTTCATAGGTGACAGAATATTCAGAAAATTTTTTTTGAAAATAAAATAGAGAAAAATATCAAAAATATCTCCTCATTTTGTTGCAGATTACATGCAGATTAAGATTACATTTTTGCTAATATTTAAATTTAATTTTATACCGTTTTTGACAAAACGCAATTACTTTCCAGTCTTTCTTCACCATGGTGCCTAGACTATTCAAATTTAAGCACAGTACCAGACTGATGACAAGGTCTCAACAATTTACAACTGAACTGCCTAGATGTAACCGGAAATTCTATGCTAACAGAATCTTTTCTCACACTTCTCACTTGTGGAACTCCTTTCCAACCAACTCTAATCTGCAAAAAATTTAAATACAATGCTTATCACTATCTGCTGTCCTCCCGATTACTTTTCCTGTTCTTGCTCCTTAGCAATGTTCCTGTTACTAACTGCTCTACACACAGTAACCGCTTGTGTCTGGACTACTACTGCCTTGAAATTAAAAAAAAAAAAAAAACAAAACAAAAAAACCCTAACAAAACTGCCTTTACTTTTTGGGATGAGGAGAGATATCAATTGTCCTTTCACACAAGCATTTCATTCGTAGCTAACTAAATAGAAGAGTATTGAAATATAAGAAATCTTAAAATATAAAAACAAATCTAAGATTAGAGGCACTAACCTAATCCCTCAAACACGAAGAGATCAAATAATTGACACCAAATTGGAAATATTCTCTTAACCCAAAACTTAAGATTACCAAAATGCAAAATCTACAAATTCAAGTTGCATTATCAAAGAGGTTTATATTGAAATTAAATCTTTCTGTAGGAGTGACATGTAAATAAAGTACCTTATTTTACCAGATTAGATGTTTAATTGTACAGATCAGTGCAGTGAGATTCTCCTTAACCTGAGAAAAAAATTACAATACTTATACAACCAGTAGACAAAACATCCTGAAATAAATGTATTTGGTTGAGTAGAAAGTCCTGTCACTTATTTGGCTAGGATAACCTTTAAAACTGTATGCCTTTATACATAGATCTTTCAGAAAAATATCATGTACAGTTGAATATTTTCCGAGTTGATGTGAACCATGTGAGAGACTGCATGCTAGGGGGAGAGAGTTAATGAGCTTCAAAACTGTGAGAAACACAGGGTACACCAGAAATGCCACTTACCATCATGTGGGAGATATTTCTGCTGCACCCTATATTTGCACTGCCTGTGAAAATGCTAGTAAGGGTTTACTTAATTTCAGCTGGTGGAATTTCACCCTGAAATAATTCCCATGTTCTGGACAGCCATTTTCATATAACAATTAATCCCTCCTTAGGCATGATTACAGAAAATTCCAAGTTGACCAAATGAGAAATATTAAATACAGTTCTATACAATCCATACTTCAACTGAAAACCATCTCCATGAACTCTGTAAAAATGTCAAAATTTGGACAATGGGTTCAACATGATCTGACAAATTCTCAACTTCAGAGTCGGCATATGTTCAACTTTACTACTGAACCATTTCTGCAATGGATAGTTGCCAATGATGAGAGAGGAGGAGAGAGAACCCCCCCCAAAAAAACAAACAAACACAGGTCCTTTATGATTCTATTCAGCCAACAAGAATGGCTACAACCCAAAGGAAAAGTCTGTGCTTCTACCATTAACAGGATTACTTACTTAGAAAGCAATATTCTGTTTTTGGTAGAACATCAAAGAGTTGAATTATAATGAAACAATCAAGTCAGCGAGAGATCGTGGTCGACTGTAAGCACAACAGAAATCTTTGTTGAAAAAGTGAGCTTCGTTGGTCAATCAGAAAAGTGTATTGTTATTGCATAACAAAAAAAAAATCATGTGTTGCAAAATGTCTGCAAGAAAAGATTCTGGCTCTGAAGATGCATTTTTTTTGTCATCCTTTCAACTATTCGGCATCAGGTCATCTTTTCCAATCTTCATAGCATTTTTTATGGCAGGAAAGGGTACACCAATTTGGAATTAAAAATGGTTTCACTTCAAAACTCAATTTTATGAAAGAGGTATTAATAATTTGCAAACATAATGGGAGAGTGTCTTTGAAAATGGAAGCTATTACCTTTATTGAATTTATAATAGATCTTTAAATAAAAGTCCATTCTATGAAACCAACAGGACTCTTTCGAAACCAAAATAAATATTTAAAATGCCAAAAATCTCCAACATCTGTCTAGTTCTTTTGTTTCTTTGACATTCAATTGGTTTGCATAGAAAATTGAAAAGAATTCTATTGAAAGTGACTAACATTTAATTGAAACATTATCACTACAGAAATATTGGTAAAAATGGGAAATAAAAAGTTTTTTTAAAAAGTCATTACTCTGATGTAGATAACCTCAAAACAAAGTTTTGCTTTCAAATACTTTTGCCTAAATATTTATTGTAGATGACAAATGATTTTTTTTAAAAGCAGGTAATACATAAGAAAATAGGAGATTAAAATCATACTTACAAAAATGCATTTAGTCTTATATTTGCAAATGAAGACCTGGTCACTGAGGGGGAGGGACCTTTCCTATGTAATTTATTCCTACAAATTACAAAGGATATTTCTTCAGTATTTTGTTTTTGATTAATATATGTGAGATAAGATCAAATATGAATCGAAATCTGACAGAATGATAAGATAAAGAACAAATTGGAAACATTTATCAATCTAACATGTTTCACTTTTTAAAGACAGATATGGAGAAAAAGTTTGATCTTCATTGATTAATCAGGTTTCACATGCATTCAACTCATTAAACAAATCGTTATTATAATTTGTGGTGTTCTGAATTCAAAGAGCTTCAAATGGATTCATTGTCTCTCCTTGAATTCAAAACACCACAAATTATACTATTTGTTTAACAAGTTGCATGTGAAACATGATTAACAAATGAAAATCAAACAAAAGTAAAAATATCAAGATCTTTCTTTTTCTCCATCTCATTCTCTGATGAAGCTTTAATAAAAGCGAGACATGTCCAATTGATAAATCTTTCCTATTTGTTATCTTACCAATCACACACACACACATATATATATATATATATATATATATATATGAGAGAACTTGTTAATTAAAAATAAAATGTGCAATATGTTTAGCCTTATAAAAAAAAAAAAAAAAAAAAAGGATTTTCTTAGGGAGAGTGTGGGTGACAACCATTGGTGGGGGAAGAAGAAGAAAAAAAAACAAAAGCAAGTGTTAATTAACCCTGAGTAATGAGGCAAAAGATTTTCTTTGTATAGATATAAATCTCTTCTCCCGACCCTTTCCTTGGACACCCTCCTTATCAGCAGTGAATCAAATGTGCATTGCAGGGGTGGGGGCAACATATCTAACTGCAACCAGCATGGCGGAGGGGAGATAAATACCCTAGAATGAAGATAACTCAGGATGGAATAAGGAGGACAAAGTGAATGTTGAATGAAAATGCATGAGAAAATAGCTGCCTTGTTGATGTGAAGAAAAGATTAGATCAGAAAGTATTTTACACACTGCACAATGAAGAGATTCATTATGATTAACAAGAAAGTCAAAAGGAATTTTAGGGTCTGCATTTACAGACACCTTTTGTTTTGTTTTTTTTTTACATTCAATCCAATAGTGACAGTAATAATTAGAACAAGTGACAAACAGCCCAAACCCTTAAAACAGGGTAACAAGATGGAGAAGGTATTTTCACAACTCCAGGATGATGAATATAATGAAGAGGCAGCAATTTTTTATTTTTAGGCGAGAAAGAAGCAAAGGGAGAGAACTCCTTGCTATTCCCATTAAAGATAAAGACCTAAAATTTGATGATCAGGTTATGGATTCTCACCAGATAAAGAGAAAATCAAGAATAGGTGAGCAAAAGAGAATGGGGAGAAAGGGAGACAAAGAATTTGAGTTTTCATTCACGCAACCATGGATGGGCTGCAATCGATGACTTCCTACGGTCTCCATAGTCGTAGAGCAATTCTTCTCCATCTTTAACGTCACGAGAGGCAACCAAGATCAGATATGGACGGCCCTTGATATCAACGAGTTTGGTGTGACAGTTGCCATTACGACTATGATTGATAAGGCGACCCAGGCGACCAGACTCATCAGTAGCATCCACACTGAAAAAGGAGGTCATAATTAAAATGAATAATCAACCAGATAAATTTATATAATAAATGGAATTTCAAAAAACGACATTGGAAATTAAATAATATGCACAAGATATGACAAAATACACAAAGAAAGAAGTGTTTTCATCATGTAAGCAATTGTTAGTAACTATATCAGTTGTTTGATCCTGACTATGTTTTTTTATAACTGCCAATCAATATTACCAATTCAATACAGGTTTTAAATCTATACCCCACCTATTTATTCAAAAAAGCTATTTCAGTAATGTACAGATTAAAATAATATACATTTCACACAGCATTTACTTTCATTGCTCTCCACAACTTTGTCATTTATTGCTCTAAGTTAACTTTTTACCATATCTGTTCTTTGTCCTTGATCTACCATCTATCAATCTACGTTCAATAAGAGTCGAGAAGTTTTCTCCCTTCACCTTTGCAACCCAGAATAACAGGACTTTAAGAAAGTAATAACTTGATCAAAAAACAAGTCCTATAGGATCTATCTTATTCGACTACTCAATATGCAAAATATAAAAATGCAAAACATCTCCTTTACACACTATTGGGCTAAGAAGCAAACTGCAGAACTTCTTATTTTCTCTTTATCCAAAATTCCAAATAGGGAAGTTAACAACCAAAAATGAAAGTTGTAATTTTGACAGTTCTACCACCAATGACAATGACCACTTGCTTACAAAAAAAAAAAAAAAAAAAAGCCTTGAAGCAACATTGTTTGATATTGGTATTTTATATCAAAGATATATGTAACCATAAGTTCTATACTAACAGTTTCTTCTGTAGCACTTTGCTTCTGGAACTCTTCTTGCATTCCAGTCAACTTTGATTTTGAAAAATTTAAATGCAATGTCAATTATCTTGTCTTAATTCCTGTTCTTTTGTTTTCTATCCTTAATATTTTTCTTTTGCATATATTCTTCTACACTCATTAACCTCTTGCATCTTAGTGACTTTATTGCCTTGCTCAAAGTGGAATGATAAAATAAAATTCAGCTAACCTGATGAATATTTATGAGCATTCTTTCTTAATTGAAGACATTTATGCTCCTGTGTATAAATACTTGTGACAAAAATAGAATTCTTACATTTGCCATGATAAAGACCCTCAGACAACACAATGAGTTGGTAAAAGTTTTTCCTTTTGTCTTTATTCATATATATCTTTCTCTACTGTAAGTCAGCAACACATAATATGCTACTATCTAACCAATATCAGATTGGGAGGTGGCAATAGATGGGTTGTACTTATCCAGAATATAGTTACGGATGAGGGGGGGGGGACAAAAAAAAAAAAAACATTTTATTTGGTTAATGCTACAATTAAATTGACTTACCAATAATTTTTACTGTTGTAGTTAAAGTAATACATGTAGCATCCAAAGTTTGGATTCATTGCATAGACACGTTCTCTGTCCTTAGCTGTTTTATGAGTTATAAGATCACCAGCATATTCCACAACAAACTCTCCTCGAGCAAACGGACGTGTGGCCACAACACCCCGACCTTTGCCATTAAAATCTACCACCTGAAAAGGAATTAAATTTGCAATTAAAAAAATAAAAAAAATTTCAGAATTATTACAAGATGCAGAATTTTGTCAAAGTAGAAATTATTACACACTGTGTGTGTGTGTGTGTGTGAGTGTGTGTGTGTGTGAGAGAAAAATAGTTAAATTTATATGAAAAGGAAGACTACTATATCTGGTGCTGTGACCAATCATATAGAACACTTTTGATGTCCTTTGTAAACTGACGTGTGTTGCCAAAGAAAACCCAACAAAAGGTCTTGGCATGACCTTTTGTACATCAAGAAAATATCACAAACAGATGGAACCTGGATAGAACCTGTCTTCAATGACAGATTAAAGAAGTGAAATCTTGTAATTGTTTAGCAATCTAGATCTCTAGTTATATGAAGTAGTCCACCACTCAGGTTAGATGCATTTAGCAATTTTTTCTCAAGTGTCAATTGATTAAAAAAAGACATTTTCTTTGAAAAATCAATTGATACTTTGTCAATATTAGATTTAGGAATTCACAATATTCAACATATTTGGAGAAAATTAGTAATTCTAAAAATAGTCATGTTACTTTAGCAGCAATAAAAAAAAAAAAAAAAAAAAAAATTTGATCTCTGCACCCCACCCCAGGTTACCAATAAGATACTACTAACAATAAATAATATTCTTTGTTATATTCAGTATTAATAAATAAATTGTATGCAATCTTACCTTCAGACCATCCTCCTTTTTATCAAGAATGGCAGATTCAATATCTTTATATTTCTTAATCTTTAAATACAAAAAAAAATGCATTAGTATCATCATACAGCATCATGAAAAACTAGATATGGGCAGTTAAACCAAAAGACTGAATTTTTGGTTTCATCTTCACATTCTAGAAAACTAAAATCATTCAGTTTAGTGCTATCACTACTGAGTGACAATATCCAAAGAAACACTATTGAAAAAGACTTTCAGATGTTAATAAAATCAAATTTTATCAACATTTATACTGTTATTGTAAGAGAAAAAGATTGAACAAAAATGTTAAAAACATTTGACTACTTGTAGGAAATATATGTGAAATCTGTTTACAAAAGAAATGAAGCAGAAAAATAGAAAATACAACAGATATAAGACTTGGAAAAAGAATGTTTTCAAACAGGAAAAAAAAAAAAGAAAATATGACTTGATGTCTGAAATCTATTCGTTCCAGTTAAAAAAAAAAAAAAAAAAAAACTTTTTGTGGTAAAATTAAGTTAAATAGTTGCCACTTTTGTCTTAATATTAAATTTTATGAAGTCTGATTTTTTTGTGAGGTAATGGTAATTGTTTTCTAATAAACCAATATGCCAATCACGAAATAAGGTTGTTAACAAGATAAATGAAGATTTGTTTTTTTTTATAAATAAATGTGTTTTTATCAAAGGAATGCACCTAAATTAGATATTATATATATATATATATATATATATATATATATATATATATATAAAAAATAATATATTCAAAACTGCAAGTCATTTTTTTTTTTTAACCCAAAGTAAAAATCATTCCTTTTTAACTATTAGTGTTCAGTGGGTGTTTGTTACTATTCTGCCTATAAAATTCTTCTAAACAAGGAAAATTAATTCATTTTTACAAATATTTTTATGATTTTATTTAAAAAAATACACTTAAGATTATATATTAAAATGACTAAAATAGTTTTTAATTTCAGTTTTAAAATGTGTATCTAAAAAAGAACAGGTGATACTTGCAGATTTGGAAATATGCACATTCTAAAAACTAAATTAAAAGCTAATTATTTTTAATATTTAATTTTAGGTGTATTCCCTAGATAAAAAAAACACAGGGTGGGGGAACAACACATTGATTTTCGTTGTTTAGAAGAAATTTACAAAACCCTAATAACAGTGGACTGGCGTACCAGTAAAGAATTGTTGTGTTTTTAATTATTTTAAATATGAGGGGTTTCATTTTTTAGCTTTTTAATAGCAAATTATCAGCAGCATTTCTGGACATAAACAGGAGAATTCTTTGCCTCTAAATAAAATAATTAATCGCTTAAACACGAGTGTACAGTGCCAGACGGTAGTTTCTAATTTGAAAGGTCTTTTTTTTTACCATACATTTATTACTATCAGTTGCTCTTTTTTTCTTTGCTTACTTTATAATTTTTTTAAGGAATTCATTTCCACAGGTCAGAGAAGAAATGGACATTTCCCCGGTTGTAGTTTAAGGTGTCTTAATTGAGTGTACAATTTCAAAAACATTGATAAAGATTGGCCACTTTGATTTTGCAAAACAAAGTAACATGTAAAATTTAGACTCAAGGGGGGGGGGTCATATTTTGCATTTTCAGCTGTACAAACCAAAATGCAGTTTTCACTTTGTGTAAAAAAATAATTCAATGAATAAAAGCACATACAAATTACATATTTAGAAAGATTATTTTATTTTCTTTCTCACCATATGAATATTTTTAAGATTGGAACAGAAATACACAAGAAATTGCAAGTTGAACAGACTAAGTTGCAAATTTATCCATTTTGAAACAAAATCAGATATCAACTGGAAATGCTATCATTACACAAGAAAATGAATGACTTCCTTAGAAAGCTGAAAAACCAAATCAAAAACCACAGTATCAAGGAGAAAAAAAGAAAAAGGAAACCGATACCAAAACATAAATTGCCAAACTGACCAACTCTATAAAAAATATTGTTAGGGTTTTCATATTGACAAGAACTGACATGTTACAGTATTCTAAATCAATTCTATTTAATCTTTAACATCTGTTTTACATTGTGTCAGATTTCAGATTGCTATAAAGTTCTCTCCCTTTTTATTCACCACCACACATACAAGAGAATAAAAATTACCAAACTCTCCAGCAAGCAACATATACATAAATAAAAACAAAATTTAAACAATTCTTTTGTTGTACATGGAAAAAAGTTTTACTGTATCATTAAAAAAACGTCAGAGATATTAAAAACAGTATAGCACAAAATCAACATTTTTTTAACTGATAATTCACCCAATAAAAAGCCCAAGAGCCACTCAAGGTAGTGTGTTAATGAGTGAGATTGCAAGAGATGGGAAAGTGGGAAGAAAGAGTTATGAGGATGAGCAGGCTAGATAAAGGTTGACCCTGGAATTAAAGAGCTCAAGATTATAATTCTCAGAGAAGCATTCTCTCAAGAGTTTGTTCCACAAAGTAACAGTTCTGGGGAAGAAGCTGTCTGAATGGAACTTTTTATCAAAGGAACACCAAGGGAACAGGGGTTTAGAGCTGAAAACTGCATGGCTGGTCAGAGTTGGTGACACTAAATAATATGACTAATCTGAACATTTGCTATGGTAATAGTGATATAGTAGTGAAATGATGGTGACATTTCATCTGTGATATATAAAAGGGGGTTATAGGGCAGGAAATAATACACACAAGGCTGCATAAGGACTTCTGGTCTGTTGACACTTTGAGGTATGCAGTAGGTGACTAGTAAAAAAAAAAATACCCACAAATCAACAACTCAAATATTAGGTTGGTGCAAAAATAATGACGTAATAATGTCGTTTTTTGACAATCTAAATGTTATGTTTAAAAAAAAATTCAGAATATAAGAGGAAGAAATTATGTTAGAATCCTTTACCAAATCTACCCATAAATGGTTTCACTTTTAAGTAATGATATTCACCAATCCAGAAACTTGTCAGCAATCATAAAACTATGACCAGCCTACAAAATGTTTATTCAGACCAAAACTTTGCAATGAATCAGATTTAAAGTTTGAATGACTAGAAAAATTAAGATTATTATTAATGAACTGTGATCAAATATGGATCAGAATTGGACAATGATAGAATAAAGAACAAACAGGAAACATTTATCAATCTAACATGTTTCACTTTTATTAAAGCTCCATTAGAGAATGGAGGAAAAACAAAGAAATTCTGGGACTTTTTATGTTGATTTTCTTTGGTTAATGAAGCTCCACGTGTATTTGATTTGTTAAACAATGGTAGTATAATTTATGGCATTCCAAATTCAGGGAAAGATGACATGTCCTTTCAAAACCACAAGAAATTTACAGATTCCAAGCCTGACTGGGAAAAAAAAAAATGTAAATACTGCTTATGTAAGTATCATAATTCTAGTTTGAATGCCAATAGAGTGTGTGTATATCTCAAGTAGACATTTATGTTTTATAGTTGTCTCTCTGAGTTTGGAACACCATAAATAATACTAACATGTAGTTTAACAAATCAATTGCATATGAAGCCTGATTAACCAATGAAAATCCGTCAAACACAAAAGTAAAAAGCACCAGAATTTCTTTTTCTCCATCTCATTTTGTGATGAAGCTTAATAAAAGTGAAACATGTTAGATTGATAAACGTTTCCTATTTGTTCTTCATCCTACTGTTACTAATGTAAACAAATGGCAAAATTAACAAGACACTAATGCTTTGTTTCATTCAAGCAGTGCTCAATTATGATGCCTTTCTATAACAAACATGATAGTCAAATGCCTTTTTTTCCTTTAATGACTATCAAAGCCAGCTTAGTTAAGGAGAATATATTTATAAAGGATATAGTGTTGGAAACATTAACTAGAAAATAGACAAGAACAAAAGACACTTTTTCACTTAAATATTATGACTACTATAAACCGCATTCTTTTTAATAATTAAGCCCCTGTGAAACTCAAAAGGGAGCCTCTTCAACCATCATGTCAAGATTTATGTGATCTCTCAATATGTTAAATCACTCCAGAATGTGGGTAGGCATTGTTTCACATTTTACAACCCTTGTCTTTCTTTTTGTGGTATTTACTCCAATTTGTCAGGGTAAGTTACTGCTTTCCTCTGCTTCACTTAACACTCACCGAGTACACTGAAAGTAAGATCTATAAACCCACCTTTTCCTGATTAGGTGTGTCCAAAATTTCAAATGTCTTTCTGATTGTAGTTCCTATTCTCCTTAATTTTAGCCACCCCTCCACCCACTATAAATTCTTAATTTGTCACATACTCTGGTATTTCTCAACATTTTGTTGGTAGAACTATATTTTGGCCATTGAAAGACTTCAAGTGTGACAATTGTTGAGCATACATAGGAGGGTAGATATGACAAGTTTCTAATGTGACTAATATTAAGTGTCTTTACTCTCAATTCATTAAGTTGATCCAGACAGCTTATTTCAAATTTTTGCTTCTTTTTATGACTTAATAGCAAGTTAACCACTATTCATTATGATCTTTTCCAGTTATCTTTGTAACTAAGCTATAGACTTCCAAGGTTTCTTTTTCCCTTTTCATTGTGAAGCTGGCTGTAGGTAAGAACTTTGAGAACACTATTGTCAACAGTCTGACAACATAACCAGTCCATCCTAATTCTTTTTTTTTTGTTTACCCCACGTCTGGTGGTATGGATGTGTTGAAAGTTAATATGTATTTATTAGCGGTTTTGTTTTTGACAATCACATTTTTGGTAAAATATAGCCTTGAAAAAAATTACCGACATACACTGATGCTAGTCTGGTGTACACAAATATAAGTATATTTAAAAGGAAAAAAAAAAAAAAATCCCATTTGCATCTCAAAAATATCTTTGTATTAATGTATTAAATTTTAAAATTTAAAAAATCTTTTACAAAATGCCATTCTTCGTAGCAAATAAAACTGAAAAGTGTGTGCATATATATTTTTTTCTCTATTATAAAAAAAGAGAAATTACCTCCAAACATGTTTTGGTTTGCCTGCTACTTCTTCGGACTGGAAAATAATCTGTTACAGTCGTCTGCCCTTGACTATTACATGTACTGTTATTGCTCTTCTTCCTGTTTGAAGAGAGGACAATGCATTAGGTCATCAAATTTTATTTTTATTTTTATTTTTTTTTCCATTAAGAAAGCAACCAAAAGCAAAAAAACAAAACTAATCATTGAATAAAATCAGAGAAAGAATTAATTTCAAAATAATGCACAGGTTAATATAAAAAGGGACATTTTTACATTTAAGGAACAAAAAAAAAAAAAAAAAAAAAAAAAAAAGAAGAAACAGAACCAAATAAGTGTAGTTTCAAATAAAAAGGATTTACAAACCAAACAAAGAGCATGGAAAAATGCAGAACTACTGCAATATTTCCATTCTAGGTAAATATTAAATCTGTATAACAATGGACACTGCAATAAGATACAGATTTTTGAGAAAAAAAAAAAAAAAAAAGACTACACTAAGTGAATTTAATACATTCAGAGTATAAATGAACTGAAAGAAATAAAGATAACTTACTTTTGTCGATTAGAAGATCTTGGCTTCTGACTTGGGGATAATGAATTTCGATGAGTGGACACAACTTTATGCTTTTTGTGTGGCCCTTTTTTCTTTGTCGATGATTTTTCTGATGATTGCATAACTAAGAGTAATTGTTTATGGGGATGAATTGGAGGTTCACTCGAGTTTTGGTTGCATTCGTTGTCGGATTTCTCCCTTTTCCGTTGTGTTGTATTAGTCGATGTTGTGAGAGTGGAAACAGAAGAGGAACTGTCTTTGCTGGGAGAGGATTCTGGAGTTAGCAGTACACTTGAATTTGCAGGATCAGCCATGGATCCTTTGAACTCACCATTTAGATGAGCTTCCTTTTTCTCTGAAAAAATTCCACAGGATGCTCCGCCTACACACGCAAAAAAAAAAAAAAAAAAAGGTCTTGAAAATAAAGGGGAGAGAAAAAAAAAAAAAACACACATCACACATAATTAAAATGTAGTTAGAAAAATCCAGTTCTACACATGTCAACTGTATTCTTTTGACAACTATGGATGCCTCAAGACTGAGTAACATTTAGCATACTGGTCTAGTTAACCATTATTCCTGCGTGACCTTACTTGTAAGTTTAGTTTTTTTGGGGTTTTTTTTTTTTTTTTGATAAAGACTATCTTCATTTCAAAAACAGATCAATCTTTGAAATTATGTCAAACAATTATATTTAGATATGGGACACACACATATATACCACCACTATTCAATGAAAGACAGCCATAGCATGATGAAAAAATGCCCCAAACTTAATAAAAAAAACAAAAAAAAAAAAAAAAAGTTTTATTATCAGAATATTTGTTATTATTAACAGGAAATGCCAAGAGAGTCAGTTTGACATTTTTGTTTTCCAATGGGCATTTGTTAGAATTTCTACAGTTACACTTGTTCGTATTATCAGTGTTTTTTGCTTTGTAATGATTATTACTCAGATTTTTTGTATTGGTCTAAAATTTTATGTTTTTTAATAATTTTTTTTCAAAATTATCTGTTCAACTATAGCTTAGTCTTAGTGTATTTATGTTAAAAATTTTACTGAGTGGATTGTTTCCAGGGAAGTGTTTATCAATTAAGTGGAACTTCTGCCCTAACTTAGTACTAAGCATTTGGTTAAATTGGGGACACACACACACAAATGATTTTCCCGTTTCTATTCTTATCCCTATGATTGCTGTTGTTTTATATATTTGATGCATATATATATATATATATATATATATATATATATATATATATGGGGGGGGGGAGGTGATATTAATAGGGAAAATCCACATTAAAAAGGATTCATGAAATGAACCAAAGAACTGCAACTGATTCTTAATATATTGAAAAGAAATGAGTGACTAATAAAAGGACAAGAATATTTTAACAACAATGATTTTAGTTGAAACAAATGGATACTGAGACATTCTTAAACCAACCTACTTCCAATAATATGACCAAACATAAAAAATTTGGAAGCACCATTTACTTGAGTCATGAGCTTTTCACCACCGATTTTGTTCTTAGAATGTTTTTGGCATTATTATCATGGTTTCCGATCATCCATACCATTTTATGAAAAATATAAACATGATTTGAATTTTGCAAAAATGAATCATTAAAAATAAAAATGAAATAAAAAAAAATAATTACAGGTATTGCTTCTTTGATGTTCAATTTCTTCACCTTGCTAAAAGTTCACAAAACTCATTTCTGCCATTCAAACCAATCATTCATTTAAAATATGAATCTACATTTTTATCCACTACTTTGTCTTCTCTTTAGCATTGTGAAAATGGTCAGACTCTTTCAAACAAGTAAGAAAAGACTTGAGAAAGAGTTATTAACTGGACCAGCAACATCATCTCTCTCACACAAAAAGGTTTGAGATATGGAATATCAGAACATGAAAATCAATGTGACAGTTAGAAAATATACACAAAAATATAGAAGGAACAGAAACACTGGCCAAATTGAGCAGGAACCTAATAGAATTGTAATAGGGATGCTTAGATGATTAAATCATTGATAAAATTACAGATATGAATGAAATATAAAACAGTGGTGATATACCAGAAGATCCAAGTAGATACATTTTCATAGCACTGCCTAAGCCATGTGCAAACATACAAACACCATCAGACAATCAGCCTAATGACCCACATCACAAAATTTATTGGAATTCTGATAAATACAGCATTTAGTAGAATCAGACTGGAAATAGAACAAAAACAGTACAGTTTTGCTCAAGACACAAGACAAGGAATGCAATATTTATGCTCAGAATGATATCAGTAAGAGGAATGCAAATGCAGAAAGATGTGTAACCATGTTTTATAGATTAGGCAAAAACATTTAATAAAAATGCATCCCAATGAATGGTGAAAACTGCTTAGTAAATTTGATTTATTTGGAAAGATATTAGAATAATATTATTATACTGCTCACACATGAATAGAAAATAAAATAATGTAAATGCAGAAGAATAAAAAGGGGCTTATAAGTTAAGGATCTGTCTTCTCACCAGACTTATTCATCCATGTCAGTCTCAGAGAAAAAGGAAATAAAAAGGATACTTAGAAAGAGACAAAATTTTTAAGGGGCATAATGGGGAAAGAAGGTTTGCAGAAATTGAAACTCATAGGACATATTACAGGCAAGAAGGACAGAGGAAAGCAGTAAATATCCTACCTATCAAGATTGTGTAAATGGCTATGAAAAAAAAAAAAAAAACACCAAGAGCTACAAAGGACAGTGTGGAGAGCCATGAACACTTACATCCTGAAGTGACATGACATTATCTATTGAAACTGATAAGTGTGTTGAAAAGTTCTCAGCCTGTCCAAGAAGGATCTAAACAAATTCTTGTGTTTGATCAGATCTTGGAGAGTGGAAAAGGCTGAGAACTACTCGGCACCACCCTGCAAGAAGAAAATTAAAATATTTTGGGTTCAGCTTTGTGTTAAAATATACTGTACCAAGAAGTAAGATTTTTTTAAGAATTAAATAGTTTTGATTTTACCAAGAAATTACCATTTTGAAAATATGGTTAGCTATAATGATTATATGAAAAGAAAATGACAGATCTGTTGGATGTTAAGTTATTAATTTTGCTATATTTAACCCTTTAGCATTCAACCAGCCCTGTAAATATTGGCTCTCAATGTCCAAATCGCTGTAACCTGTTCCAAGTATACTCTGCAATAATATATGACATTGTTGCAAATAATGCAAGAAGTCATGCAAACAGTGAGACTAAGAGCTAATAATTACTGAGCAGATTTGAGCTTGTCACATGCTAAAGGGTAAATACAAAGAGTATTGCAACACTGACCAACATGGCTGTTTTTTGGGGTTTTTTTTTTTTTTTTTAAAAAAAAAAAAAAAGAGAAATGGAATAAAAATTGCATTTTTATTTTTATTTTTATAGAAATGAATTGTAATTGAAAAAAAGAAAAAGAAGCTACGAACCTAATGTCATTTTATATCCATCCATCCAGACACACACAAGTTTATGCCATGGTGCCTGTATTTAATGCGGAGATGCCCTTAAAATACAAGCCACATCTATGGCAATTTTATCCTTTAACTTTTTTTTTTTTTTTTTTTATTAAGAACAAAATGTTAAGTTTTTCTTAATAAGGTGGTCATGGGGATTTTTCCAAGAAAAAATTTGACTAGAGCCCTATACAGATATATTTTTAAAGAAAAGAGATGAAAGGAATTTCAATGTTACAAGTTTATTTCAATCTTTCAACATTTATGTCTACAGGAAATTAAATGAACATCATGTCTACACACACACACACACAACATAATACATTTCATTAACAGAAATACCTAAATAGACTAGTCCCCATCAAAGAATACTACATGTATGTCAAAAAGTCAGGAATCAGTTTGACGGTTTGTTTATATTGTAAACAGGACATCCCATTTAAAATGATAGAAAATTAATGTTTTTTGATTCTGACAAATTGCCCGAGCAGTAAAAGTTCTTCTGAATGCTAGGCAACAAAAATTAATCATGAAAATATTTTTATTTATAAGAAATTACTAACTTATATTCGTGTCGGAAAGTAAAGGATCATTTTGACCTTTACTGTACATATTTTTTTTTGTTTCAATAATTATTTTGATTTTATGCTGAAAAAGCTTTATATCTCTCTATGGAGACATAATCTATAAAAGTAGCATTGAGGGAGGAGAAAAAAAAAATTATTATGTGAGCTTTTCTTTATATAATTTTTAAAGTACTCAATCTAAAAATTTAAGAAAATATTCTCTAATGTTTTATTGATTTTCAGAAATATTGGCTTTAAACTTACTATAGTTATCACACTCATTTTCTGAGAATGTTGTGTATGGTTGCATGTACTTAAAAAAAAAAAAAGAGAATGTTTATACATACAAAAAATTCAACATTCTTTAAAAATATTGGTGTTTCATTAGATATCCCAAGCCTCCCTAGTTTAGGCTGCAAAAATAGGTCAAAATAGTGAAATTCCCTTTCAAAGACAATATATAAAGTATTTTTAAGTTATATTGATAAAATTAGTATTATTATTGGAATTTATATAGTCGTCCTTCATTTGTCATGGTTAATCAGCTCCAGACCCTACCATGATAAGTGAATTTCCAAAGTAGGTTTCATTATTGACAAATTGAATATTTTTGTAATTAGAGCATAGAAAACCTGTGTACGGCTGTCTAAATATGGTTTTTGACATAAGAGCTCTAGAGACATAAAATAACAACCCTGTAGTCACCTTTACACTTATATTACCCAATATATTAGACAAAATAAGAGAAAAGACATATTAGACATGACATATATCAGATTATTGTACATTAAAAAATCACACAAAGTTCTTACGTGTACATAGCTTCATCATTAGGTTAGTGTGAACCTAGGAAAATAATACAACTTGTTTGATGAAGAAGAAATATACTGCAAAACAAAGCTTACTGCTGCTCTAAATCATTTGCATAAACCTCCTTTATACCTTGGAGGACTAATAAGCATAATTTAAGGTTTTCTTTTCTGCACATCCTTGAAATCAATTGAATAAATATCTTTGAATGTAGTTTTGGTTTTCTTGTCAAAAATAAAATTTGGCTTTATTTTAATCAAATACTTGTTGTTTTGTACTCTATTTGTTGTCAACTATCTTCTGAACAATTTTGTTTGCAGATTCCTTTGTAGCAACATGCAGCTAAATATATCACCAATTGATCCACAGCACGCCCACAACAATAGCCAATCAGTGAACAGCACCTTCTGATTGCCTTGGTTTCATCACACCCGATTTTCAACTAATACAGGCCTGGAAAAATAGTTTCTTGCCCACACACAAGGAGTGGTCGGGCAGCAAC